CCATGGTGCTCCAGGGTACTTAATACAAATGTAGATGAAAAAAACATGGTATAACTATGGTACATGTCTCAGGAAACCTTCCCGAATTTAGTAGATCTTTATGTTGCAACTTTCTCACAAAATTGTTCGCAGATGATTCGGTTTGAGACCGTGACTCACAACAGAGACAGCACAGCAATGTATTGAGGACACTGCAAAAACCTACCTACGCAGCAAGCACTTAGGGAGCGTTTGACACCGTGACTGGGACAAAAACAGATCAATAGTGCGTTAACGAACCGAGGCACGGAAAGACTTTACCCCACGCCGACTCCAGCCCCCGGAGTCCTGCGTTTTCACAGCACCGATTAGCTCGAAACGTTTCCAGGCAGAAAACGCGGGGTGGACGTCGAGGGTCGCGCGCTGCTGCAATGACGTTTCACAGGTGGCCAGCTAATCGAAAATGTGTCAACAAAAACGACGTCACGCCGAAACTCAATCGTGATTGGCTCACAAATCCTTAGTGCAAGGAGAGGTGTGTCATGTTGCTACGCAGGTTTATAGCGGATGACAAAAACATGTGCGAACATGGCTCGCCAGTCTCAGCCGTTTAGACAACAACAGGTTATAGAAATGTAAATGTGCTCATTTTAAAAAGATAACAGAATATATATTTATTTAATTCATTTTGATTATGCTATTAAAAGGAATAAATTGCAGCAAAAGTGAATCACTGAACGGGTTAAGTATTTTCTTTTAATCTTATGTTATACAGTGTTATTCTAAAATTATTATAATAAACGTACACAGACTACACTATACCAAAATGTATATATCAGTTCATTAACAATTGACAATTTTAGTCAAAAAAAGCAAATAAAAGTCGTTTTATGTGATTGTTTTTATTAGTTTTATTATTTTTGTTTGCTGTTTAATTGTTTTATTTATTATAATGCATTATTAATTTATATTATTTATTAGAAAAAAATCAATAAAAATAACATCTAACATCTAACTTTTTAAAGGTTTTTGAGAGATTTTGTAGAAATGCTCTGTATATGCTCAACAGATGGACAGAAATGCGGTGTCTAACTTAAATCAATTTTTAAATACAAAAAGCCTTTATTAACACGAATACGGATTCTTCATTGTTCAAAGAATAAGGATCTGAGAACTTGATATCAAAACAAAGGCAGCAGTGCTTCTCATGACAACATGGGCTAACGTATCACGTACCGTAACGCGTTGACGTCAGCACGTCGAGGAAGTGAAGTGAACACGTGGTTTTTCGGCTGGCCTCGCTTCTACATAGAGTGACAATCGGTAAATATAAGATTACTGTTGTAATTGGCATGAATTTTATAGTACAGTTATAACATTTAGGATGTAATATGTTTTATTAACCTGCGTTGTTATTAGAGGACACAGAATTGATAGCGTTTAACGAATAGAGAAGTTAAAATAACTTCATTTAGCCGACTGCTAGCTAACGTTACCTTGACTAAGTACTGGTTAAATGAAAGTTACTTGGAACGAGTTTAACCCTGAGGTTTTGTTGAGAATTATTTTATTTAATCATGGTGCCCTAGAGTCCCATATGTTTAAAAATAATAGTTTCAGAAGTACATTTCTCTAACCTAATCAAAACCAGGTACAAAGATGAGATTTAATCCTAAAATAGCACTATATGCGCTGTTTAGAAATATGATTATCCTTTATAATAATTTTCTATTGAAATATGAATGTTTATGTATCTATTTGGATCAAAACCTAATTGTAGAGCAGAAACTCCCAACTTATCCGATCATAATTATATATATGCTGTGTTCTGTTACTAATGTTTGTTTTATATCTACCCTATTTTCTTTCTTATTATTATCATCATTATCTCACTGTAAATGTTGTTTCTCATCAGTTTCAGACAGCTTTGATCAGTTCAATAGCAGAAGAATGGCAGTCCGTGCATCTTTTGAAAAGAATAATGAAATTGGCTGCTTTGCCAAACTCACAAACACATATTGCTTGGTGGCGATTGGCGGTTCAGAAAACTTTTACAGGTGAGTCATAAATTAGATTACCGAAAATATGTGTATGTGTGTGTATATATATATATATATATATATGATAAATATATAAAATGTCTGTTTTTCCCCACAGTGTCTTTGAAGGTGAGCTGTCAGAAACGATGCCTGTCGTTCATGCCTCTATAGCAGGATGTCGAATTATTGGCAGAATGTGTGTAGGTAAGAAAATCTATCCAATCCAGTTTATTTTGCAAATTTGTGATCGATTAACATAATTTTTGTATTTCTTGTATGTTGATCAAAAATACAGATGTTGTTTCAGTAGATAACGTAACAAGACCTTTAATGTGATGAAATTAACCTTTTAGCAGCTAGAGCAGATTAGGTCTTGTTATGCTTTTATGTCCTCATACGTGATGTATAATAGATGTTGTGTGTCCGTCTTGGGATGCTCTTCTGCAGGAAATCGTCACGGTCTCTTGGTGCCCAACAACACGACAGATCAAGAGTTACAGCACATTAAGAACTGCCTGCCAGATTCAGTGCGGATTCAGAGAGTAGAAGAGCGTCTTTCTGCGCTGGGGAACGTCATCGCTTGTAACGACTACGTTGCTCTAGTTCATCCTGATCTGGACCGAGTAAGAACATCCCTAATGGAAGACTCTCTGAAATCAGCGCTTTCTCCGAACCTTAAATGGTCTTAATGGCTCTAAATTATTTCCCAATGATGTTTTATATTTCTCTAAAAAGCCTCTAAGACTGATGAAACCATTAGAAAGTTTATTTCCCAAAGCTGATGTTTTTTGTATTAAATTCAGGGAATTATTGTCCACAGGAAACAGAAGAGATTCTTGCAGACACTCTCAAGGTGGAAGTGTTCAGACAGACGATTGCGGAGCAGGTGCTTGTGGGTAGTTACTGTGCCTTCAGTAACCAGGGAGGCCTCGTCCACCCCAAAACCTCCATAGAAGATCAAGATGAACTCTCATCACTCCTGCAAGTACCTTTAGTGGTGAGTGACCGCTCTCTAATATCTGACAATCACTTCATCTGCACTTGATGGAATTCTACTGACTGATTATGATATATTATATTCAAAACATATACATGCAGTTCAAAAGTATGGGGTTGGTATGATTTTTTGTTGTTGTTGTTGAAAGAAATACTTAATACTTTTAATCAAATAAAGGCTGCCTGGATGAGCTTAAGAGATTTCTTTAAAAAATGTAAAAAATCTTACCGACCCAAACGTTTGAATCTGATTTTGGGCTGATTTGATCTATAAATCACTTCACATACTACATAAAAAAAGACCATATAAATAGTGGTGTTTACTAAGATAAGAAATACTATTATCATTTCTCGTACTTGGGGTTGATGCTAAATACATACACAGAGGATGTGTTTGAAAATTTGTATCATAGTTACTAGTTTTTTGTTAATCTTTGTCATTTTAATGTCAGTGATAGTTGATTCTGCCAAACCCAAATTTTCAGCCTTATTTAGTATTTATTTAAATATTTATGTGAAATGATTAATAGGGGCAAACGTATTCAATACATAGTTAAACCCTAGACTGAAGTAACTAGTGTTTTGTCAGAAAGCTTTAGAAATGTACTTCTTAAAGAACTACTTGATTTCTTTGCACTGATGCTGGCTCATTGATAACCGAGCACTGATTGTTTTCTTTCTGCAGGCTGGGACGGTGAACCGCGGTAGTGAGGTGATCGCTGCTGGTATGGTGGTGAACGACTGGTGTGCCTTCTGTGGGCTGGACACCACGAGCACTGAGCTGTCCGTCATCGAGAGCGTCTTCAGATTGAGTGAAACGCAGCCCAGCGCCATCGCAACTACCATGAGAGACTCGCTCATCGACAGGTATGTGATGACAACTCAAGTCTGGAGAAATACATATAGTTTATCCAATTAAAAATGTTCTGATTATTATTTCAAATCCAACTAAACTTCATTATTTCTTCTTTTCCAGTCTCACATAAAACTGAAACGGTTTTGAAGGCTTTATTTGTAGGAAGATGCCTAAATGGACCTGGAAGTCGTTATTGGATGGTTTGAAGGCTGATAATGTCTCCCTTCAGGGAGAAACGCTCTCTTGTCTTTAAACCATGAGAAAACGTGTTGTCATTATATTATTCATGTATGAACTGCGTGTTACACTGTCTTTTTGTAAAATACTAAGACAAAAGCATTGATGGGCTGATTTGATCTATAAATCACTTCACATACTACATAAAAAAAGACCACATGACCTTTAAATGGTGGCAGATGTAGTTTGTTTGCTTGCACAATGCAGCATCAATAAAGCTGTGCATGATCAACACAGACTGGTTTGGTAAATAAAAATCATAAACTTCCACAGAAGGTCTTTTTAGTGATTTTTATGTAGTATTGCTTATGCCGTTTGAATATTAATAAAAGGCTTTTGACAACATTCTGATGCCATAACTGTTTTATTGACAGCGGTGAATATGAGATAATACATTCAGAAATGTGTGGCAGTATGAATAGTGCAGTTCAGCTGAACATGGTCGTCTGTAGCATGGTTTGGTTCTTTGGTATTTATCAATTTGCACATAAATCTCAACACATTACAGCATGTTATAATGTAGAATATAAAACTTGTGAAAATAAAAGTAACATGCACACAGTGATAGAAAACAAATGGAATGCAGCAAAATACTGTATGAACTCAAACTAGTAAAGTAAAACATGACAAGAAAAACTACTGTACACTACCGTTCAAAAGTTTGGGGACTCTATGATTTTTTTTGTTTGTTTTTAAAAAAAGTCTCATTCTTACCAGTGTTGCATTTATTTAATCAAAAATACAGTTTATTTTATGATTCTTTGATGAAAAGAAATTTCAAAAGAACAGCATTTATTTGAAATATAAATATTTTGTAACATTATAAATGTCACCTTTGATCAGTTTAATTTGTCTTTGCTGAATAAAAGTATTAATTTAAAAAATCTTGCTGACCCCAAACTTTTGAATGGTAGTTATAGATTAAGTATATTATAAACATGAAAAATCATGACAACGTGAACAAAGCTCAGCAAAAGCATTTACTTTTGGTCTAGCTCTTGTACAGGGTTCCCACCCTTTTAACTAATGAATTTCCATGACTTTTATCAAGATAGCCAACTATTAGTGATTAAGTATCATTCAAATCATTTTAGACATTACTGGAGTTTCATTTGTAACTCGGGTACCAATCCTTGGAACGAAGTGATTTAAACAACCATACATGGAGTTCAAAAGTCTCCAAACAGAAAAAAAATAGAGCCCGAGATCTGAATGCAGCTCAATGCATTTGATTCAACGCATATGACTGAAACTCAATGTCCAAGCATAACCAGAAATTTACACTCACTTTAGAAATGTCTGGGACTTTTAACATTTTATGATGTTCCATGATTTTTGCAGGTCTGGAAATCTATTTAAATTCCCTGTTGTTTCAAGGTTTTCACAAGTATGGGAACCCTATGTATAGACTGTCATAAATGACTGCAAATAAAAATGACCACAAAATAACTCCCCCCTTTTTTTAAGGCCTAAAATCAAACACAATGTAACATGCAAGCTTTAAAGTCATATTTCTGGCCCAAAAATTGAGTTTCTCGATATTTGGCATCACAATGGACTACAGAAGCTGCATAAGCCACATCAATGTGTAAACAGCAGCTAATTATCCAAATGCAACACAAAGATTGTGGTGACAGCACATTAAATATCTGAAATAGTTTTTAGGTGGTGATGTGTAGACTAAATAACACCACTTTATATTTTTGGTGCACAAATTTCTGTCAATTATAATCCTTCATAAATGTGTACATTTAGACCTAGTATTGTATCCTGTCATTTTCAATAAAGAAAAAGAAATATTTCTTTGGTTTAAAAACAAAACAAAACATGAAACCCATTTTAAAACATCCTTTTCCTTCTGAACTTAAACACAAATGCAGCGTCCTGCAACCTGCACAGGAAGACGAGACTCTTTCCAGACACCTGCTCAACATCTCTGTAAATACATACGGTTAGCATTCAGTCGTCTGATACTGATTTATACAGATATCACCAATTTATATATCAGTTCTGATGTAATACTTGATTAAATACTTGATTTGTCAATGCAGTAATATGTTCAAATCACTAAGATCAATCACATCATATAATCCGGTCACTCAAAAATCATCTGTTGATAAATAGACGGAGGAAAGAAATATATGTGTTTTTGTGAAGTTATAAAAAAAGGTGGAAGGGAAGCACTGGCAGCAATACATGACAGCAGAGTTAACCTGATGAACTTCAGGAAGAGGTTTAAGGTTGGCTGTGAAGTGTTCAGGTCAAGAACACTGTGTTCTAGTTAGAGCTAGTTCTGCTCTTCTTTCAGATCAAACCTGACCGAGAAAGAAAAACAATTTAAGGAACAATTCAAAAATAAAAATTCTGTCTTTGAAAAAGTTAAACAGATAACAGAACAAAATAAACAATACATAATAATTACATTGGAAAGTGTTGCTTAGAGAACATATTTATATGTTTGTGTATTAAAAGTACAAAAACTCACCATTCTGTGACTCCAGAGACTAAGTCAGCATGTCCCAGGTCTATCTGCACCTACAAGAATAAATCAACAATAAATGAAACACTAACATTTTGAAAATGACAATTAAATGTGATGATTAAATTAAATAAATATTAGTAACATAAATTACAATAAAATTTTAATATACATATAAAATTAAAATATTTATAAAATTTAATACAAAACAAAGAATACAAAAAAAGTTACTCATAATTCAAGATTAATTCTCTGAAAACAAGTCTTATCTTACACAATTTTGTGCACATATGTTTCAGTGTTAGGAAGTCTAGATATTTTTTTTGCAGTATATTCCTGTACAGCTGAAGTGAGCCCAGGCAGACTGACCTGGCCGATCACGTCTTTGTCTCGATTCATGAAGGACGAGGATGCGTTTTTCACACAAACGCTGAGCTCTCGTCTCTGAGCGTCCTCCACACTCATATCAAACTCAAACCTACAGAACAACATTGCAGATTATGACACACTCACTGGTTCAAGGTTTGATAAAAACTCATCTGAAACCACTTCACATCTAAGACAGAAAATGCAAACACATTTCAGAACATAAAATCAAAAGACAGATTTACACAATGCAATGTTTAAAGATGAATTAAACACATCCTTATGGTATTATACTATATTGTATATACAGTGGTGGCCAAAAGTATTAGAACACTAGTATTTTCACCAGCTAAAATGGTTTTAAGTCAGTTATTTCTATCTTTTGCTGTAGTGTGTCAGTAGGAAATATCAGTTTACATTTCCAAACATTCATTTAGCCATTAATTGTTACAATTTTGGCCACCACTGTATGTTACTAAATAATTACAATAACACACCATTGTGTTTAGATGGTGCTCCAAAGCAAAAGTAATGTACTACCATGGTACATAGTTCACAGAACTGATTACAACTCACTTAAATCTCTCTTATTCATGAACGACACACACACACACACACACACACACACACACACGTCTCCAAACCTTTCATTGAACTCAGGGTTCAGATTTTTCTTCTTCACAGTCGTCTTTCTTTTCGTGGCCTTGCTTTTATCCGGCAGCAGAATGAGGGAGACGTAGGTGTCTAAGCTGTCCTTAGATGATGTAACCAGACCCCTGAAAACATACAAACACAGAACATCCTCACTTCACCTCAAACTTCAGACTTACATAGGCGACTTCTAAACTTGAAATGAGTCGAAAGGGTTTCTAATCACACCAGACCTGCACGCATGGATGATCACTGTCAGCTTCTTCTGGAAGGAAAGGGAGATTTTGATCTGACCAGTGGTGGCCGCCTGCTTATTACTCAACACAGGACCTGAACCCATGGCCACTAAGGCAGCCATTTTTGAATCCAAGATCTGGATGGAAGAGAAAATGTTGATTATATTTACAGCATTGTGATACTATTTCATGGCTGAGTGACTAAAACAACCATCAAAATGAGCGCAGATAGCTCAAGTTGTCTAACCTTCAGCTGTGCCCTGAGTAACATCTGGCTCTTTGGTGAAGCTCCATCCAGATCGAGCCATTGGTCCATCAGTAGATCTGGTTTTGAAAGCAGATCTCTGATTGGAAGAACCAAAGAGCCCATGGGTTGGTCCCAGGCACTTGAGAGCTGCTCAGAATGACAATAAATCAAACGAGAGTCTGAAATAATCATAATTTAAGATCTAATGCAGAAAGCCTTCTAGTTTAAACACAAATACTGTTGCATTCTCAGTGTTGCCACAAGGGGCGCAATAGCAACATTCGCTTAAAGGGGTCATATGATGCGATTTCAATTTTTCCTTTCTCTTTGGAGTGTTACAAGCTCTTGGTGCATAAAGAAGATCTGTAAAGTTGCAAAGACTAAAGTCTCAAATCCAAAGAGATATTCTTTATAAAAGTTAAAGAGTCAACCACGTATACCTAAAACGGCTCGTTCTAACACACCCCCACATACCTACGTCACGATCTCGGAAGATTTGCATAACGCCGCCCAAACGTTCACGCAAAGAAAGAAGGCGTAACTTATATTCTCGCTGTAGTATTGTTGTTGCCACCACCGCCATGTCGTGAAGGCGCTGTGTGTTTCGTTGTGAAAGTGAAACTACTTTGTTTGGCCTTCCAAAACAGGACTCGACTAGAAATCAGTGGTTAAGTTGTATTTAAGTACGTTTTCATTTTAAGGATTTGCCACTGATGATTCAAACGCGAGTTTTGAGCAGTGTAGAGTAGCGTTTGTAGTTTGTCATTTCTCAGATCACAAATGCAGACATGGTTTTATGTTTATGCGGCGCGATGCAATGCAACGCGTAAAAAAACAGTATAAGTCATTATAATCCTTATCATTTATATTGGGTTTTAATGTTTTTGTCTCGTCGCTCCGGCCGGACAGGGCATCACGATATGGTAGGGGGCGTAACATTTCCGTCACACGCTTGAGGTATTCGGCCAATCACAACACACTGGATAGCTGGCCAATCAGAGCACACCTCGCTTTTCAGACTGATGAGCTTTGTAAAAATCGACGCGTTTCAGAAAGGCGGGGCATAGAGGAGAAACAATAATGTACAGTATGTGGAAAATAATGTGTTTTTTTAACCTTAAACCGCATAAACACATTTCATTACACCAAATACACAAAATAATGTTCTTTTTAACAACATCATATGACCCCTTTAAACTCTTCTTCTACTGTCAGTTTCTCTTTCAGGTCAACTGAGCATGTTAGTTTAGTTTTGTTGATGTGTGTTAAGTATGTACTTAACCTGAAGGACACTAAGGTGTATACAATAATGACAAGTTTAAATATATATTATCATATATGGCAGCTGCTGAATATTTGTTGATTATTATTCAGTGCATCATTTAATGCATGCAATCTTCACAAAATGGTATTAACTGCATTTCAGGCTAAAATATCCTCACCTTAATGACAAGTATGTCTTTTTTGGGGTCATAAACCAGAAAGTCAAATGCTTCATTCCAGTAAGGAGAAGATGAGCGATCACACACCTTTAAACGTGAGAGCACAGAAAAAATCATTTAAATGAATTAAAATATTACAAATAAATTATATACCATTTAACTTTTTATAAGACTGCATGATTGCTATTATAGATAAAAGTCTCCTGCCTTGGTTTTATAGGATGTTCCTCCAAGTACAAGTTCAGCAGCAGCTTTGGGTTCCTTTCCACTTTTCTTCAACTAGACATGTAACCATCAAGAATTAACGACAGGTTGTTATTATAAAAAAAATAAAAAATCATTACTTTTCCAATCATTAAAATAACGTATACTGTAAAGATTTTGTTAATAAAGATCATTTATAGTCAGTGAAATACTTAATACAGTAGAATAAATATACATATAGTGATATACATAATTAATACAAATATATATAAAAGTAGTTTAATATACAATATTTTTATAAAGCTCTTAAAATAACGTTTTATATATATATTGTATTTTATGTATCTATGTTATGTAATAGATATTATATATACATATTAATATATAATATTATACATACATAAATACGTATTTTTAAATAGCTTAAAATATTGAAACATTATGGAAACAAATTCAAACATATTCTACTTAATTTAGTATTGACTAGAAATTGTCTTTTTTAATGCAAGCGCTATAAATGATAGGATACTGATAGTGTGTAGAAGTACATCGACTCACAGGCAGATCATGAGCTCTTTCGAAGTAAATAAACAACAACGCTGCTGACGGCACAGACTTGTTCTGGTAGGTCTGAGAGCTTTGCATCTGCATTACCTAGTAAAAAAAAGACAATTTTTAGTATTATGTCAATTTAATATATATATATATATATAACAACCAACAGACTCTGTGTGCTTTCGTGCAAAACTGACTTGATCCAATCTATCCCGCTGTGTTGAGGTGGGAAGCCATTCCAGGACCAAATGGACTCGACCGTGTTTTATATCATTCAGAGTAAACCACTGGAAAAGAAAAGGCAGCGGGGACAGGTTCATGTGCTGATTGTGTTATGATCTTACAAACCAGAGCCAAATATGCTGATACTCACTTCATCATTGTACTGGGAACTGATGATATGTCCAAGTTTGAGCTTGAACCTGTGAACACACATGAAGACAAAGTAAAACGTCATTTATTTTATGCATCTGAAATAAAGTTTTTTTTGTTTGTTTAGAGTGAATTTCCGAAGATTTATCTGGTGCATATTTCACCCCAAAATCAACAGCAAAAATTGTTTTACTATTTTTTTTTAAATCAACATAAGTTGAAAACAAATACTACCATGATATATATGAAATGGATGGGGAATGTGCCTAGTTTTCCCCAAAAAATTATGTAATAATGCAAAAAATCTGGTTTCCGTGCTTTAATGAGTAATAATGGTTGTAAATGTACTAACCTTCCAAGGAAATCATCAGATTCAAAATCTTTATCATAGACCTCAAACTTCACATCTAGATTATGATCAGGACTCAGAATCATCTAGTAAATAAAAATGGGAAACATAACTATTAATCTCTTTTAAAGTAATGTTTTTTTATTATTATTTTACAGATAAGAATTTAAAATATTTAAGACATGAGCATAAATACACATGAATCATAGCCATTACAGACATTTCTGCGACACCTTGATTTTTCCGAACTACATTTCCCAGCATTCCCACCTCATACATCTCGTTCCAGGTGGGGTTGAGGTTCTCCTTGATCACATGACTCTTAAAGGTTGTGTCTCCGATATGGATCTTGACATAGGGGTCGCTCTTCCCCTTCACCATCCCTCCCATCATGTTGTCCTTCGCTACCAGATCCTGAGCTTCCAGCAGGTGGATACGCAGCACCCCCTATGGGACAGACATTAAACAATCATAACATTAGAAGAATACTGAAGTCATCCTGCCAAGTAGGACATGTTCCAACATCTTTACATCTACACCTAAAAAATGGTATGCTGATCTAGGAACCTAAAAGTTCAAGAAATGTACCACTCAATGATGAACTGCCTTTAACTGAAAATTGAGTGTTTACTATTGTCATTTTGCATTTTTGACACACTATTTTCCTATTTAATGCTGTAAAGTTGCTTTGACACAATCTGTATTGTTAAAAGCGCTGTATAAATAAAGGTGACTTGACTCGACTCACCTTGGTGCCAAAGCTGGGGTCATGGCAGGTCTTTTGGGGTCGAACGTCTGCAGAACTACTGACTTTTGACTCCTCTGCAGGAGCACTGGGGGAAACCTTCTTGTGAGACCTGTTTAACATGAAGAAATCAATCTTTCTATGATGGCCCATCATTATTATGAGTATTAATAATATAGTACTTTGTTAATTGAAGCTAAATCAGGGTTATATCAAATCTTTAACGCACTGCTCTTCTGGTTTTTGCTCTTCATGGGCTGATCCAAATGTTTTGACTGGTTCCATGTATCCACCCTCACTGGGAGTGGAATCAGGAACTTTGCTGAGATCCTGCAAATAAGAAATAATCAGAGTTATTATAGTTATCTAAAAGTTACCTAAACTAAAAAGTTTGTAAAATTTAACTAAAACTAAAACAATTAAATAAAAAATACAAATCCTTTCTGTTACTCAAAATAAAACATGCTAACTGAAATCAAATAAAATATAAAAAACTTATCTTATTTCCAGTAGTTGCCAAAAACATTTTTCATTTTCATTTAGTACTTGATGTGCTGAAATAACTAAAACAAATAAAAATGAATAAAAACTATATAGATATTTAAAAAAAGAACTAAGAACAATGACAAAAACAGACTACAATATTACTAAAAAACTAAAATAAAAACTAAAATTTTAAATAATTAAAATTAGTAATTAAAAAAAACTATAAGAGTGCTTCAATTACACTAAATTAACACAAGTAAAATCAATAAAGAAAAAAAATATATATATATATGGTCACCATTCATTTTCAACAAAACAATAATGTTTATTGTACCATATTTAATCATTTAAGTAAAAAGACAGTCAAATAATGACATTATGATTAAAATAATTATTGATTTTAATTAATTTAAAATCAAATATTATATAAAATAAATTAATAATTAATTAAAATAAAATCTTTAAGTAAATGATGCTTTATACACACACACACACACACAAACTAACCTCAGTGGCAGGCTGTGTTTTGGGTACAGATGGCGTGTGATGGTCATCTATATCATGGGCGTCTGTTTGTTTCTGATGTTCTTCAGGCAGTGATACAGCAGGAAGTGCTAAAGTAGAGGCTGCCAGTTCACTGACCCTGTTCATCACAAACACAAGCAGTCTGGTTTAGTTCTCCAAATGAAGCAAAATGACTTTTAAGAAATCAGTAATCATAACAAAACAATCGAACCCTTTTGTTGGCAGCGTTTTCTTCTCAGACTCTTTACTGACTGCAGCTTGTGAGTGTTCAACAGTGACTGGAGCTTTTTCTTCCTGCTCTTCACCCACTGAATGCTCTTCTTCAACAACAGGCTTTTTACGATGAAGGACACTTGTATCCAAACTTGAGTCCAAAATCTGATATTAAACAAGTGTAATTTAGACATTTACAAATGTCTTCTGGTCTCAACTTGACACGCCAACATGAAACTAACTGCGAGAGATCCATATACAATATATATTTTGATTTTAAGAACTGAAATGACAATTTGAAAAAGGCAAATAGTAAGTTAACCCTATTACAGTTTAGAAAAAGCATAAGAATCATTGTTTGACCTTAAGTTGTGCCCTCAGCAGAATCTGAGTGTCAGGACCTGCTCCATCCAAACTCAACCACTGGTCCATCAGTAGATCTGGTTTTGAAAGCAGCTCTCTGATTGGTAGAACCACTGAGCCTAAGGGCTGCTCAAAGGCACTTGAAAGCTACGAGGAAACGAGAGAAAATATGAACAAAGATCAAATCCATTATGAATATTTATTATGACATATATAAGGGGTTTTGATGCATAATGTGTCCATGGACTATATCAATATTGAAAAGTCAAGTTAAAATTTATATTAATGTACATGGGGAAAGGTCCTGTAACTAATCGCCAGTTACTAAATGGTCCAGCAGTGTGACAAATAATATCATTTCCTATTTAATGCTGTAAAGTTGCTTTGACACAATCTGTATTGTTAAAAGCGCTGTATAAATAAAGGTGACTTGACTCGACTCACCTTGGTGCCAAAGCTGGGGTCATGGCAGGTCTTTTGGGGTCGAACGTCTGCAGAACTACTGACTTTTGACTCCTCTGCAGGAGCACTGGGGGAAACCTTCTTGTGAGACCTGTTTAACATGAAGAAATCAATCTTTCTATGATGGCCCATCATTATTATGAGTATTAATAATATAGTACTTTGTTAATTGAAGCTAAATCAGGGTTATATCAAATCTTTCACGCACTGCTCTTCTGGTTTTTGCTCTTCATGGGCTGATCCAAATGTTTTGACTGGTTCCATGTATCCACCCTCACTGGGAGTGGAATCAGGAACTTTGCTGAGATCCTGCAAATGATAAGAAATAATCAGAGTTATTATAGTTATCTAAAAGTTACCTAAACTAAAAAGTTAGTAAAAAGTTAACTAAAACTAAAACAATTAAATAAAAAATACAAATCCTTTCTGTTACTCAAAATAAAACATGCTAACTGAAATCAAATAAAATATAAAAAACTTATCTTATTTCCAGTAGTTGCCAAAAACATTTTTCATTTTCATTTAGTACTTGATGTGCTGAAATAACTAAAACAAATAAAAATGAATAAAAACTATATAGATATTTTAAAAAATAACTAAGAGCAATGACAAAAACAGACTACAAAATTACTAAAAAACTAAAATAAAAACAAAAATACAAAAATTGTAAATAATTAAAATTAGTAATAAAAAAAAAACTATAAGAGTGCTTCAGTTACACTAAATTAACAAAAGTAAAATCAATAAAGAAAATAAAATAAAAAATATGGTCATCATTCATTTTCAACAAAACAATAATTTATTTGTACCATATTTAATCATTTAAGTAAAAAGAAAATCAAAAAAGTAGTTTAATGTTTTATGTAATATATAATGGATCTGAAATACTGTTTAAATAAAAAATTTGGTCCCACTTTATATTAGGTGGCCTTTACTACTATGTACTTACATCAAAAAATAAGTACAATGTACTTATTGTGTTCATATTGTATTGCAAAACAGTTTTGCTGCTATTGAGGACAGGGGTAAGGTTAGGGACAGGTTTGGTGGTATGGGTAGGTTTATGGGTGGGTTAAGGTGTAAGGGATGGGTCAACAGTGTAATTATAAATGTAATTACAGAAATTAGTTACAGATGTATTTACATGCAGGTATTTTAAAAAATATAAGTTCAATGTAAAAACATGTATGTACGCAATAAGTGCATTGTATTAAATTATTAATTTAAATGTAAGTACATAGTAGTTAAGGCCACCTAATATAAAGTGGGACCAAAATTTTGAAAAATTTAAAAAAAAAGTAAAATAATTAAATTAATTTAATAAATCGAATTAAGTCGAATAATTTATAATATTATTTAATAAATAATCTATAATATCATTAAATAAATTAAAATTGAAATAATGACATTATGATTAAAATAATTATTGATTTTAATTCCTTGATCACATGACTCTTAAAGATTTTGTCTTTGATATGGATCTTGACATACGGGTCGCTCTTCCCCTTCACCATCCCTCCCATCATCTTGTCCTTCGCTACCAGATCTTCAGCTTCCAGCAGGTGGAGGCGGAGCGCGCCCTAAAAAACATCAAATCACCCCACTGTGTTGGTATGTTTGCATTTATAAGCCATATTAACAGTCCACCATCCATCTGAACATTCCTCACCTCGGCACCAAAGCTGGGGTCAGGGCTGGTGTGCAAGGGTCGAAGGTCATCTGAACTGGAAACTTCTGGGACCTCTGTGACCTCAGGGACTTCCTCCTCTTCTGGGACTGACACAGAGGAAGTCCTGCTAACAGGAGATGGTGGGACCTCCTCAATACTAGACCTAAAACCCCCCCAAACAATCACAGACACACACATGTCAAAGTCAAAGTACGTTTATTGTCTTTTCGCTCTTATGTGGCCACAGAAGTTACATAAAATGCAACGATATGAACAGGAAACATTGTTCCTCTTAAACATCAATCAATAAATATCCATAAAAACATATAACAGTCAACTATAATTAATAAACAACCACACTTACTTAAATACATCTGTTTACGGTAACAATTATTATTAATTATTACTATTAACAGTCGATGGATTTCATTATCAATTTTTAAGATAAATTACGAATGAAACATCGGTTGTCAGTTCTGCAGATCTATTTATTTTAATTAGGAACTTCATTTTAAGGCACTGTTTATTAAATATTATCAATAAAGAAATGTTTGAGGGCTCTATGATTTGAAATTCTCCTCCTCTCACTCCTGCACTAATTCCTCCTCTGGTTTTCTTCTAAAGCTGGACGCTTCAGGATGTTTCGGCTCCTCATGGTCTTCAGAGCTCTCCGTCTCTTTAGGGCAAAGAATCTACAACATAAGATAACACCACATCAAGTACAAAACACTTCAAAGGCACAGTTCAAGCCAACATCAAGCACTACTGATCAAACTGTATTGTTTTCTATTTGAAAACTCATTTTTAATATATTAATATGTTGCAGAATGCACAGGCTGCTCTTTTGAATCTACAATTCAAAAGTTAGTAGTCAGTTAGATTTTTGTTTTGAAAACAGATAAAAAAAAAAAAACTTTTTTAAGATCAAGTAAAGAAAATGCACTTAATATATTTTAAAGTAATTTTAATCAAGATGCATTTACATGAGAAGCAATGTGACATAAGTCGTCTTGTTTTTTGTGAAACTGAACAAAATGGTTATGATTAAAACAAGAATATCTGCCAAACTGCTCAGAAAAATTTAATTGAAACGGACATTTTTAATACCCCATTGACAGATATTCGTTCTTGTTTTAAGCAGAAACTCACTTAATTTAGTTCAGTTTCTCAGAAAACAATTACCTTTTTTTGCAGCATAGAGGAGAAACAATAATGTACAGTATGTGGAAAATAATGTGTTTTTTTAACCTTAAACCACATAAACACATTTCATTACACCAAATACACAAAATAATGTTCTTTTTAGCAACATCATATGACCCCTTTAAATAAATGTGTCTTGATTTAAGTATGTTTAGATATTTGTATTGGAATACAAAAATATAGAAGAAGATTTTTTGCAGTGCATGCAAGATTTAATTCCATGACTGTATGAATGTAAGACCTTTTTAAAACCTTAAATTGTGGAAGGGTGAATTAAGACTTTTTAAGACCGGCAGAAACCCCGTAAAAGAAATTAATACTTTTATTCAGGAATTCATGCATTAAATTGATCAAAAGTGAGAGTAAAGATGTTTCTAATGTTTTCAAAGTTTTCAAATAAATGCTGTTCTTTTGAACTTTCTATTCATAAAAAAAAAACAAAAAATTGAAAATTGAAAATAAATGCATCGTAAGAATAATGGCAGCTGAAAATTAAGCTTTGCATCACAGAAATAAATTACATTTTAGAAAATATTAAAATAGAAAACCATTATTTTAAATTGTAATAATATTTCACAATATTGCTGTTTTTACTGTATTTCTGATCAGATTAATGGTAAGCAGAAGATACTTTTTTTTAAACTTTAAAATAACAGAATGTGTGTGTGTTTTACCTTCAGCTGAGCTCTGAGAAGAATCTGACTCTGGGGTGACGCTCCATCCAGATCGAGCCACTGATCCAGCATCAGATCTGCTTCAGAGAGAAGCTCTTTGATGGGAATCACCACAGATCCCAGAGAGAAGTCCCAATTGTGGGACAACTGAAGAGAAAAAGTGAGGTAGAAAGGTTAAAGTCAGGTGGTAAGGTGCGTTGCAAGCCAAGCACTACAGTTGTATAACATCAAAATGTGCTGTTTGCATTCTCTTACCTTCATAACAAGGTCTTCATTCAATGGATCTCGAACCAGGAAGTGAAATGCCTCGTCCCATTGGGGAGAGCTGGTGCGGTCAGAGACCTACATCACACAGTGTCAGTAAAAAAAAGGAATGTCAACTGTGTCCACACATCATTCATCAATAATCAATTCAAGAGCAAAAACAGTTTCTTACCGTGGTTCTATGAGAAGTTCCTCTCAAAATCAGCTCAGCACCAACTTTAGGCTCCTTTCCACTCTTCTTCAACTAAACACACAGAGACATTAAGATTTAAGAGAACAACTTTACTGACACTTTTAATCAATTTAATTCAATGCATCTTTGCTAAATAAACAATAATTTATATATCAAAAATAGCAGCCGTAAGATCATTTGAGAAATGTTTGACTTCATATTGAGATCTCCGTCTTCTGATTGCACACTGTTTCTTGGCAAATCTGAGCACAGTTATGCGATCGACGAGAACCATGCAAGATTACTGGAAGATTACAATATTGTCTTTGACAGGAAGATCCCAGTCTCCATTTGCGCTCAACAACTGAGATGTTAAAGAGATATCACACTCACAGGAAGCTCATGCGCGCGCTCCACATACACAAACAGGAGAGCGGCAGTCGGCACTGTCTTATTCAGGTACGAGCTCTTTGACTGGTACTGCAACACCTGAAGAATAAATCAGTTTGTTTTATCAATGCATTGTCAACACAGACAGACAGTGAACGAGGACGAGAGACAGTTCTGCTCACCTGCTGTAGTTTCTCTGGTTGTGTTACAGTGGGCAGCCATTCCAGAGCGAGATGAACACGGCCACGCTTAACGTCGCTCAGAGTAAACCACTGACACACAGTCACAAAAGCATATGAATCAGTATATCAATGCAGCTTATTTTTAGACGTATTACTACAAATGCACATACACTCACCTCGTTAATGTATTCGGAGCTAATTATATCACTCAGATTCATCTTCAGCCTAAAAGAAAAACAATACATCCCTAAATAATGCGAAAACAAAACAATGTTTAGAATTCTTATGGATTATATTGACAGCAGCCCTCATACCTGCCCATAAAGTCATCTTTCATGTCCATGTCCCTATCAAAAACTTCCAAGGTCAACTCCTGACCAGGAAGATGCGTCAAAACCACCTTAAAAATATCAATGGGAAATACAAAAGTTCAAATGACTTTGCCATTATGTCAAACAATCATTTGGTAAAGATTCTGCAGCTTAAATAAGTAAAAAGTCCACTTGCATAGCACATAATTTGTATACAGACTAATATTTTTATAAAAAAATAGCACATAAACTGTATGTAATTATAGACATTAACAATTATTTTTTATATT